GAGAGGGGGCTATTAAAGTGCTATATTAATGAATATCGGCTATGTACAACAATCAGTTATTTGCAGATTTGAAATGTTAGTCACAAATTCAAACAAATATCAAAAATCAGTCAGTACTAGCGAGGTCAATATTTTTTTTCCGATTTTTAGATGTATTTCTAATCTAGGCGACCGGTCCACCATGTCAGTTTTCTTGGATAACTAACCAATGCTAACAAATTTTCCGCAAGTGACAGACTGCTAATCCTACATTCAACTTGTAATGGCGGTGAGACACACATGCCTTTAAAGAAATTTCTCACCAGCTACATATTTACATTATAAATTTGATGCTCTCACCAATGAAGTGTGTCTCTTAGCATGCACAATTCCTTCGTGGCTAGTTTAGTTTAATATCTAACAATATCCTGACAACTAATACACATTCGGTGTATACTGTACCCGTTTATCAAACACAAAATACATTATGCAATCTCGTTGTCTAATTAAATCGCACCGTGTCTTATCTATTTAAATTAACTTCGGTTAATTCGGTTATATGTAAATTCACGATTCTCTGTGACCAAAATTCAGATACGAATTAAATCCTCTATTAAAACGGCCAAAAAAAAATGAAAATGTGTTTAATTTTGTTACATATAATTGTATTTCATCTCGTGAGCTTAAAACACAGTATTCTCAGCCTTGGCTCGTGAAGCTTTCTGGATGAAATCTTAAACTACAGTAAACAAAAATCTTATGTATTTCATCATTATTTGAAAAAAAGTTTCCTTTTTTTAAAATATCATTTTATTATCAAGGATAAGCAGTTTAGCGTAAAATATTTCTTTTTTTATTATTAACACAAAATAGAAATTGATACATGGACATATTAACAACACTGCTATACAAATAAGACTGATTATTTTATGCTCTTTCACAAAGATAATAACATAAGTGTTAACTATAATAAACATGTATTTTATTCAGGGTATAATTGTAAACATCAAATATAATGAGGAGAAAAGTTTTATAAATTACAACACAGAAGTTTTGTTGACAAGTACAATAAGGTAATGACATATCAAACAGAATTTGTAACTAACACAAGAATAAATACGCTTCTTTTACGGTTCAGCTGACAAAATATTGCATAAAAATTCTTGTAAATGAAAAACAGAAAATTCCTTTGTGGAATTCATATTGGTTATACATTATTTTTTTATGGTTTATCGTCCATGATGTGAGGCGATTAAGTAATATCTAAGGAATATATTTTTGCTATAAATTAATAAATGTTTATCAACAAAAAGAACAACAACAACAAACATTTATTCGCTGTAAGGCATCCGGCCCATGCAAAGAATATATACAATTACAAACATTTTAATAAGGGATAGCATGTGTATGATATTAGGTTATATTTACAATACTTGTATGTATGGTTTTCTATTTTCAAATGCATAATGTAAATACATTGCGACAGATCTTTTAAGTTCTTCATTTTTAGTTGACATGATAATATTAAATTTATTAATATTGTGTTGAGTAAAAAAATTAAGGTATGTATGCTTCACGTAAGTCAGAATAATATTTACACTTTAACAAGAAATGATATTCATCCTCCACAGTATTAGTATCACATAATTTGCATAATAAAAAAATGTTGTAAGCGTAGACTGTGTATAGACGTGATTTTGATGTCCTTATAAAATTCGATAAAGAGTGGCCTTTAAATGTGTTGTTGGAATAAATGTTTATCAAAGATACACTCCTGTTCGTTTTGGCATTTGCCGGGTTACTTCCTTTATGTATTGGAACAATAATAAACCCACTCATTGGGGTATTCTCCTGTTAGCAAGTGTATATTTTATTGAATTATTTTTATTTAAATATTTCTGTGTTTCTATCCCACTACTTTTCATTATTGTATTGTGAAAGTTCTGCTTAAGCTTATGCAAATCCAACATACATTTTCCTTCTATATAAATCTTCATTTATAATATTTTGATTATAAGATTCTATTTGTTGTATCAGTAATATACAGTGTTTTCAAATGTTCATAGACCTCTTTAGGTTATATTTTTCACATTTTGGTTAATTTTGTTAAATTCCTTACTTTTTTGAATTCAGCTCCAACGGTGCTACAGTTAGCATTGTATCATGTTAAGCACTGTTCGTGTTGTTCAAAGTTTTACCCAAAATATCTTTTGAAAAATCGCTTATTATCTTAATGATAGTTTGTGCGAGGAAGTTAATATTTTCATTTTGTATAATTTTATCAGTTTGTATTAATATATCTCCCCATTTTTGATAAAAGCATTATAGAAATTGAGAAATTTTCGTTTCGTCAAGTGTGTATTTAATAAGACTGATGCCCTCCACAGAAAGGATAACGTCATAGAGAAGTCCACGGTAGGTTTTATCGAAAATAAAACTTTTGATAATGCTATGCTCAATTCTGCCCCTTAAATGTTTAGAGATGAAGAGGTATAAAGATCTTTAGATTTCGCTCTTGAGAAACTTTCATTTCATATAGAATTTCAACGATATACAGTGTCTTTAAGAGCTGCATGCTGAATTACTCTTACAAAATGTTGCTACTAATGGTATTGATTCTGCATTACTGTCTTAAAACGTGGTACTTCTACTGCATTACCTGGCAGTACTTTCGTTTTGATAAAAATGTCATCAGGTTTTCTCTTTGTGTTTACTAGTAAAGAAAAAGCAAGATAAACACTATTAATTGCTTCTATTCTAAATAATTCTATATCAACTGATATGTTAGCACCATAAAAAGTTTTTATTTACTTTGGTATGAATTGAACAGAAGTGTGAATGTGTGAAGGGCACAACAGACTGTTGGGTTTTAAATGAAAGGTGATTGCATTGTATTACAGTTGACTGGTTACTGAATAATTCAATTCAAGGTCATTGAACCTTCGAAGTATTAGGGCCTACAGCCCATGGCTTGTCAATCTATTAATCGAAAACAGTTTTAACCTACCAGGCAAATATGACCTTGATCTTTAACCCGTTGACCCCAAGGCGATAGGGGTCATCTACTGGTCAAGTCCAATGCACCTACGAGGTTTGCGGGACAACAGCTCATGGATAGTCAAGTTGTTGATCGGAAACCGTTTTTACCAACAAGGTCAGTGTGACATTGACCTTTGATCCCAAAATCAATAGAGGTCATCAACTGGTCATGAATAATCATCACACCAAGTTTAAGGTTCCTAGGCCTAAGTGCTCTTTAGTTATCCGTTTTTACTTTTAAGGTAAGTGTGACCTTTGAACCTCTGATCCCAAAATCATAAGGAGTCATCTACTGGTCATGAACAATCATCATACTAAGTTTGAAGTTCGAAGGCGTAAGCGCTCTTTAGTTATTGATCGGAAATCTTTTTTACCTACAAGGTCAGTGTGCCCTTGACTTTTGACGCATTGATCCCAAAATCAATAGGGGTCATCAACTGGTCATGTTCACTCATCATACTAAATTTGAACTTCCAAGGCCTACGGGTTCTTTAGTTATTGATCGGAAACCGTTTTTATCTACAACGGCCTTTGAACCGTTGATCCTAAAATCAGTGGGGTTCATCTACTGGTCATATACAATCATCATACTAAGTTTGAAGTTCCTAGGTCTAAGTGTTCTTAAGCTATTGATTGGAAACCATTTGGTCTACGGACCGACCAATAAACCGACAGACAAATGCAAAGCAAAATACCCCAACTTCTTTGAAGATAGTCTTTCAAAACATATGTCTTTTTGGTTTTATTTTATGCTATTCCTGATTAAAAAATATTGAAACTCTTATTTCTTTAAATCATGATTTTAATAGAGCAGATAACTCCTACAGCTTGTCAAATCACGACTATAAGAGTTTAGTTATCAATATCGAAAGAAAACCTTGCGTATTATTTGTTTAATAAACAGGAGGTGATAACGTTATACTGCTGTTTCTTTCGTCAATAGCGTGTGTCATTGAATTCTTAATATATCATTTTAATCACGAGAGCTCTATTCGACGGAGAGCATGCTTTTCGTCGCGATCGTATAGTATATCATCATTTACAATTTGGAGTTAATTCAAAAGAGTTCCATTTTGGTACCCTATACCAAATAATCCCTAAAGTATGTAACATTGCTGCTGCATGACTATGCGTTTTATGGCATGACAACAAGAAATAATAATGTCGACCTTGGAACTGACAAACTGTTGAAAGTAAGCGACATCTGCATTTCTATATAATACATGAAACTTTTTACATTATATGTTTTCAAAATTATCATTAAAGTGTACCTATACCAAGTACCAATTTGACGGCATTTATGTCGAATCAGTTTTCTATAAATTAGTCTTCTAAACGATGGATGCTAAAATGACTTTTTTCATCGTAAAGCAAAAGCTTGGGATGCGATGTTTCTACATAAAGCATGTCTCCTCTTCCTAGCATGAAAGATGCTCCAGTATATACAGTTCCCTCTGAATGCCCCGTTGCTAGCTCACATGGAGTGTTTCTACCTTCATAAATGTTCATTGGTGACTTCTCTGCGGTCTTAAGATGTAAACTGTATGTAAATAGATTACTTGCAACAGCTGCATCCGTTTGTTCACAATCAGTAACATTCAGGTAAATTTTGAATGAAACATAATACGCACCAGGATATTCTACATAAATCGACCCATCAGAGGTGCTGTATACCAAACCTGTTTCAGTATCTAAGACAGGTTCAGTCCAATAAAGCCTTGAAAAGCGTCTATTTGTATCTTAAAATATAATGGAAATTACAAATAAGTTATTAAGATGTTGTTTCTTAAGTAAGCTTCGGCAATAAACTACTATATGAATATATTACACACTTGCTGGATTGCTGTAAGTAAAGATTTATACAATTTTAATATAAAAATAATTTAATAATTTCAAAGTATAACATTATTAAGTACCATCAAGTATAACTGATTACGATATTCCAAATTCATCATGTCATATTGTTTGTTTGTTTTATTGGGTTTTACGTCACATCGACACAGTATAGGTCATATTGCGACGTTCCAGCTTTACTGGTGGAGGAAGACCTCAGGTGCCCTTCCGTGCATTATTTTAGTTACGAACGGGCACCTGAGTAGAACCACCGGCATTCCGTGAGCTAGCTGGATAGCTTCCTCACATGAAAGAATCCAAAGTCGGGATTCGAACCCACAGCGGTGAGGGGCAAGTGGTTTTAAGTCAACGACCTGAACCACTCGGATCATGACATATTTGTTGTTCAGATTACATTAAAAAGGTTACATTACATGCCTTGTGTTTCATTCCTGTTGATTCCAACGAGTTTTAAAACAACCAGTTTTGGATCATAGGCATGACAATCAAATCCTTTCAGATTCAGAACGCCAATCTCTAAGAAAGTATTAAAAAATATGATTTAGACGATTTTTTATATCCGGTGATTATGGATTCTAATACAATTAATAGATTTTGTTGAGCAAACTTGAAATCGATTTTTTACAGGTTTGATTAAAATCATTTAAGACACACATTATATAACTAACTGACATTATGTAACTATATGTCCGAAAGACATGACAGAAGGATTACAGAAACCTTCATATCTCTTCACGCTGTTTGTTAAACTCGGATTATTATGGTATTAAATGTTAATGCTACTATAATAATATAAAGATTTTGTCGCAATTACCAGTAACTTACCAGGATTAGAATCGCTGTCGTAACTTTTTGAAATTGACTGAAATTCAATGAAATGTATGATTTTGATGTTAAAAAAAATTGTATATTTAATATTTTCAAAGCATTTCGAAAATTAAGTTAAGGATAAAGAACATACATATTTTTAGTTTTTCTTTGTTTTATATTTTAATGAAATATATATTTTTTACTGATCTATAATTTTGCAAAATACTATTATTCAAAATATTTATGTTGTTTATCTTTATCACAAGACCGAAACAAAAACAATAAGTACCTTTGATACCAAACTTTCAAAATATTTTGTAACATTTCCACAGCAAATAGTTTTGTTTGACTCTTCGTTCAATATTTCAAGACCATCAGGGCATTTATCCATTGACAGACAAGTCTTGTATCTATTTGTGTTAAGATTCCTTTCCATTCTCCAATATACAGCCATAACACAAAGGATGATAGTTTGTATAATTGATAGACCCATAAGACATGCAAGACAAACTTTTCTCTGAAATGACATAAATGACAATGACACATTTAATACAATTACAATCTTAAATAGAAACATTTTAAGAACCTTTTGTGGCTAATCCTTTATATGGAAAGTTGATTATTTAGTCGTTACTACTAATTACATTTTGATTATGAGTAACGTACTTGTTACAGAGGATCTAATTTTAGTAATACCTCCGTGTAATTATTTCTTTTTGTAAACGTCGATGAAGCAAATGAACACAAAGAAAAGAAAAGAAATTAAGCAAATGTGGTAATGAAGGCGATTTCTAAGAAACAAAAGTTTGTGCACTTGTTTGAATTTCTTAGTGCACATTTTGTGCCGGTTTGTTTCATTGGATACCTGGGATCAAAGTTAAGGCTTCCAAAAGTAATTAGAACATCCAGTCAAGTTTTATGCTTTTAAAACCACATCCTTAACCTTACCTTTCTCAATGATGTGTTTGCCTGACGGATTTTCATTTTCGAACTTCTTTGTTCTGTTCAAAGATCTTTGTTGTTTTCCACCTTTCAATTTAAGGAAGACCATGGGTAATGGGCACCATAAGGAACTGTAAAATTGACAACATAGGACAGTTATATGTCTTCAAGGTCACCTGTATGCAAAATTTAAATAAAATTTACCGTGTGGTTTATGAGTTATGGATATATATCTGAACTTAGACTTTGCCATTAGACTGGCTTATTTTCAGAAATGAGGAAACTGTAAATAATCTGTAATATCAACATTATAAAAAATGTTTTTCTATTGCTCATTGTTAAGTAACAAATAATAACAGTCAGGTAACACATTACACAAGCAAAATGTTTGTTTCTAAACAAAATGTTCTTAATATGTATAAAAATGTTACCCTTCCCCACCCACTTTTAACACTAATTTTACCATTTCCCTATCTAAAATGCCTTATTCAAAATATCCCTAAAATTTATCGAAATGAGGGTCTGTTTTCAAAGTTTGCCTAAATTTTCTCAAAAGTATATTAGTTGATCATGCAAAATATAAAATACCTTTACCGTGTAGTTTTTATTTTATCGAACTTTGAAAATATCTGGTATCAAATTTGCTATACATTTTAGCATTATTTAGCAAAAAAAAAACCCTAAAATAATTATATAATTTAAATCAAACTTTTTTTCCTCCATAAGGGATCAGAGATACATAAATAATGTTAAAAAGAAAAAAAGAAAGAAAAAAAAGTTGCCTCTTCTGGGGTTTGAACCCACGCCCCTCAATTTCAATGTAGTTTACAGGCAATTCTAGCCTATTTGAATACTCTTCAAAGTGGAGGTAATGCATTACCCATGGTCTACCTTAAATAAACATTCTTTTCTCAAAAAGGTATTTAGTTGTCTAATTTGTTTGAACTGAACTATATATGCGTCACTTACATCAGCTATACATATAAGTAGCAGTAAGTATTTACCAACAAAGTGTAGATAAATAAGAAAGTCAAATAAATGCTAAAACATATACATTTAGTCATACTTTAACCAAAGTAACATGTAAAGGCACCGCCATGGAGCGGTCAAAAGCAAAAAAAAAAAAAAAAAAAAAAAAAAAAAATCTGATCATGGCTTAACATAAAGTCCCTAAAAATTGTATTCTAAAATTTCACAAATGTATGATCGAATGGAAAAGAGAGGATTTTGCAAACTATGTCACAAATCCACATTGAATAGTGTCGTGAATATACGTTGGACTGCTTTTTGTTGACACGCGTTGTCCCGTGTTGTCCTAAAAATAGTTCCGTGATGAAACGTGACTCTTACCTAGTGTAACCATCACATGTAACAAGAGAATTGTACAGGTGCAATGAGCTAGAACTACAATGTCAAATACTTGATTTCATACATTAACTTTATTAAACGCAATTCACTAATGGTCTCTTTCAATCAACTCAAATATGCCACAGAAATTAGAGGGGGAAAGGATTTAATATGTACATGTGCTGGAAAAGGAGGCAACATGTAACGTGTTTACAACAAAGAAAAGACAAATAAGTTGTCTTGCGATCACGTTTAAAATGCATCTCACGCAAACGCAAAGCAAAAGCTTTTTACATATAAGAAACCTTTCAAAACTGCAAGTTTTGTTTTTACGCAGTCGCGGTCATACTTAATACACAGGTGTGTCCAAATTCTTAATAAAACATTGATTTTTTAAATGACAGTACTTAAAATGTTTTTCCAGATCAATATATCATTTAAGGTAGGTCATTTGAAGTAGGTCTAGCTTAATATCAGACCAGTCGCTCATCCGTTTTTTTTCCAAAATGAATGACTTTATATGTGATGACTGACCCATAAATGAAGTGTTTCCTTGCTTTGTAAGATTACCATACCATAAACACTTTTTTGAATATATTTGAGCAATTTATTTTACGTTATTTTGCTTTGCATATTTTTCTGTTTTAAATGGCTCAATTTATCTATGAAATCTGTTTTTAGGCGTTTTTGGCCTCACTGGATCTGTAGGTTTCAAGTTTTTTACCTAAATTTTAAGCATGGGATAACACTTAATTAACTGAGTTTTATATTTGAAAGCTAATAACCAATTTACAATCATTTTCGATGTAAAATTGAGTGCGGAACTGTGTAATTGAGTGTATGAGTAAAGTTGGTAATAAGAAAAAATGGATATTGGACAAGTAAAAGAGTAAAGCGGCCGACCACACAGGAAGAGGTTTAAGTTTTCTTTTCAAAACCCAAACAAAAACATTGCAGCTTTTCAAATGGCCTTAGCCTACATCTTATACATTTTACTTTTAAGGGCATTAATAGAGCGAATATAATGAATAGTGAAATAATGAATGATCAATCGAATGATCGTTCTGACTCTTTCTGTTATGATTTAATCGATCTACAGTGATAAATAAATAATTTGCTTATCTCGTTGACTTGTTTGTCTAGAGATAAAACAATGTGTAATTAGATATGACATACAATATATATTGATCACAAAAACCACGGCGCAACAGTAAAATAAAGCAATGTAAATAGATAATGCACTAGATTGATGACTATGTAAGTAAGCGACTGATAACTTTATTTACATATTCATATGCAGTCAATAAATAAACAAGGCTACCATTTAATTTAATCCTTGCATATTGTCCTTAAATTTCTACATAAATATAATAACACTAGTCATCTCTTAAACAAACTCTAAACAATGGCAACATTGTCGCAAAATACGCCCGTCACATAAGCTTTTGTCAGAAATGTTGGCATTATAGAAATGCATATAGGATCTATGCTCTGGGCAATATCCGGTTATTTAATCATTTCTAGTGATCTCTACCTCGCAAATATTAACCTTAATTACATGTGTCACACTTGTAGTCATTAAACTTATCATGATAGTTATCAATAATGAGGACTAAATGGTCCCCGTGCACAAACATTGACCTCTCTATGCGACCTTGACTTCTGTAGCAGGGACCTTAATTATGTGCGCGATACTTTGCTTCACAATGGTAGTCATGATAATGACCACTCGTGTTTCAATCTCTCAATTAATACTGACTTAATGGTCCGAATACACATTTTCATATTTTTATCTGAGCTTTGACACTATGTGTGACCTTGACCTTGGTCACAGGCACTTGAATTTTGCACACTACACTGCGCCTAATAATAGTGAACATTTGTCCTAAGTTATATTGAAATCCTTCTATGCATGTGCAGTTTTGCTCCGGGCAAGTGTTTTTAATGACCTGAAAGTGTGACCTTGAGCTTTAATCAAGAGACCTGGTTCATGTGCATGACCCTGCCTCTCATAATGGTGAACATTTCTATTCATTAGAATCCCTCCAGATATGTCGGAGATATTCTCTAGACAAAATCTCTATACCTTATCATCTTTAGTGACCTTGACCTTGCATATATTAACCTAAATTACATGTTTCATACCCGTAGTTATGACAATGATTATTTGTGTTTTAATCCCTCAAAAAATAATGTGTTAATGGTCCCAATACACATTTTCATATTTATATCTGAATTTTGACTGTGTGACATTGTCTTTGGCCACAGGGACCTAGTTTTTACCCTAAACACTCCGCCTCACAATGGTGAACATTTGTGCCTTCTAATATTGAAATCCCTCTATGCATATTGAAATTTTGCTCCGGATAAGCGTTTTTCAATGACTGTAAGTGTGACCTTGTCATGCTTATGATATGACCACTTAATAGATAACCATATCCCATCTACATTCATATACATTTACAAAGAGGAAGTCACATTATGATATTTCCCGTGTTGGTGTAACGTTCAGCCCAAGCAAAACCAGCAACAGCCAATAAATATCTCAAATCCCTTGATAATTGTTATACTAGTATGTTCCGGAAAAAAATAGGCATAGAAAGTAACATTCTGCATAAAAATTGAGAACGAAAATTTATAAAAGGGCAAAGAAGAGAAATAAATGAAAAGTTTAGTTTTATTCTTGTACACTTTACCAATTCCCAATGAGATCTATTTACGTTCACGCTTTAAGTTGATTATTTAAATATTCTTGATTATATGTTCCGAACAAAAATTGTGGGACGAGTAAAAATATTTTACATGTCACGGAGAGGAATAAAATATTTAAAAGTTTTTAAAGAACTATTTTGTCTTGGACGAGAAAGTAAAATCAAAAATGTAGAGACCGGGATAAATAGATAAGAGGGCCAAGATGGCTCTATATAGCTCACCTGACCCATCGAACTCATCCGAACAATTACCTAGACAAGCATTCTGACCAAGTTTCATGACAGGTGAGTCAAAAATGTGACCACTAGAGTGTTTACAAGGATTACCTATATTTTAGCAGTGTGACCTAGGTGACCCATATTCGAACCTGACCTAGAAACCATCAAAATAAACTTTCAGACAAATTTCCAGGATATTTGGATCAAAACAGTAGCCACTAGAGTAAACAAGATTTTTTGGCTCCTGTGACCTAGTTTTTTTTATATGAGATGACCCATGTTCGAACTCATCCCAGCAATAACCTAGATAAGCATCCTGACAAAGTGTATGATAATTGAGTCAAAAATGTGACCATTAGAGTGACCATTATAGTGTTAACAAGGTTTATCTATTTTTAGCTCCTGTGAACTTGTTTTCCATCTGAGATGACCCATGTGCGAACTAATCCGAGCAATTACCTTTACAAGCATCCTGACCAAGTTAAATGATAATTGAGTCAAAATGTGACCACTACAGTGTTAGCAAGGTTTTTCTTTTTTTAGCTCCTGTGACCTAGTTTTTTATATGAGATGACCCATGTTCGAAATCATCCGAGCAATTACCTAGACAAGTATCCTGAGAAAGTTTGATGACGATTGAGGCAAAAATGTGACCGCTAGAGTGTTTACGAACAAGTGTGGACGGACGACAGGCGACGGACATTCAACGATCCTAAAAGCTCACCCTGAGCTAGCTCAGGTGAGCTAAAAAGTGTATTCAAAACTATGTAATAGCACCTAATGACAGAATGGTTTCTTATTATCGTAACATATAAATATCGTCTGAATCATGACAAAAGGCATCTTTAAGTATGATATATAATAAAGCACACTACATTATGCCATACAGCTCCTAACGTTGTCTCCCATCGTGAAACTTTAAATAAATGTATAAAGACTAGTATTTGAACATCAAAAGAAATATAATAACGTGATCGCATATTGATGGTTACTTTATTGGCAATCATCGTAGATGAATATTTAAATGAATAGCTTTGTATCTGTGCAAACTAAAATGCGAAAGTCCCTTGACAAAAATTGCGTCGCTTTGATAAGTTGATATCTTTGTATAATGACACGATAATTATTATTTCATACATTGTATGATATAATTCTGATTGTGATACAAGTTGACAACATCCACCTAGATTTGAAACTGTCACGATATTAATGATAATAATAATCAAAATGATAAAAGTCATGATAGCTTTTAAGAATGTAACACATGAACATATAGTATCAATTAGTATCGCAAAAAACAAGTGCATCACTTAGGTAATAAAACAAAATAACTAATGATTTTGCTTGTGACACAGTTCACCTAGCAAAGGTAGACAGGTGGGGCTAAATTTTTTATGCTTAAACTGTTTACTAGACGGACAGTGAATTAAATGATAAAATATTAATATAATTATTATCCAAGTATTTGATTAATTCTAATTTTTAATCAATTTGCGTTGATAAAAGCTATAATGTCATGATTATTTTGATGAATATATCGGTCACTTTATGTATTTTATAATGGATAGTAAATGTATAAACTGTATTTTGGAATTTACTACAAAGTTTGTTTATGTTTCAATATGATGGCAGTCTTCAAAAAGAAATTGGAAACTCAGTACCGCAAAGGCCGATGCTAGGGAAGTGAAGGATGTTGCACTTTTTCATTATCCCTGACATGCAAACTCAATCAAACCGAGTCCGCAATTTTTATTTTGTTGGATGAATGCATCTGAAGGATAACATATTTTCCAGATAGATTTTCAAATTTACATGTGTACTATGAGAACTGGAATTTGGACCTATGTCATTTCAGAAACAGAATGTCTAGGCAATTGTATAATACAAGTGAAATTAATTTCATTCATGGATTACTAAATATTAACACATATTCCAATAAAATGTAAAAAAAGGCTGAGATAAATATTGAAGCAATTATCTGTGTCTTCATCAGTAAACATGTCTTATTTAGAATTACTTTACAATGCAAGTACTGCGGTATACATGTATACTATAGTCATTTTGCAAGCACATATGCACCGGTTGCTCACACATAATATTGCTACTTTTGCAGGGTCTTTTCAATATATTGTGGCTTAATTTTGGAAAGAATATATATCTTTTTGAGAAATTCGATAGCTAAAAGACTACTTTGACAAAAATCTTATTTCTTCTTATTTCAGTTATTCATGTGTATGATTATTTAATGTGTACTTTTCTAAGGAACATGTCAAAACCCTTCCACTTTTATCATACAATGAAGCAGATTGAGTTTTCTATTTTTCATATTTTTTATTTCTCTTGATGTTTTGGGGAATATATTTTATGTAACTGAATAGCGTTTAAACCATTGCTTAATGAAGAACAAAATCTGGCAACATATCCATAAAACAATTCTACAGAACTTTTTTCTGACCAACAAACCGGAAACTGTAAGAAATTCCACCTGGGCTCAGCTATTTAGATAAATGAAAACATTAAGATTTTACAAATCGGTGAATTGAACCATAGACTTTTGTGGAAAAATGTATATGTCAGTAACATATAAACAGTTCTATATATTCAACATTCCAATTTTGTCAAAACATTTAGACATGATATGTGCAGCTGTTAAAATATTAACATTTGTTTTCAGGTGACAATGTGCTTGCAATTTTGAGCAGTATGAAGACATAATATAACAGTTAAAAGTTTTATTTTCCCATAAAATGTTGATAAACATACAAGAGCTGCGAGCATGTCAGATATCACGCAACAAAGTTAAACATTTGTCATCTCGAAAATGCATATCATGCGGAATAAACTGGTAAACATTAAAAAAGAATCCATTCTTGATCCATATACCATGCACATAATAAATGGTTAAGTTGCTTTATATCCAAACCAAAAGTTTTGTAGAGATCCCAAACGGACGCTGATTGAGCCAACCGACGTATGTTTGAATGATATGGTAGAAGCACAGAAAGAATTAGTGTTACGTTGTACCGTTACCATCTACGTTTTTATTCAAAAATGAAGTAAAACAAAAGCCTGAATTTGATATGGAGGTTTTTCAATTGATTTATGAAGGAGTTTTATGAAGAAACATACCAACAGATTGTTTGACTGGTGGAATAACACTTATTTATACGAAATGAGTATACAGACTGGTATTCAAATAAGTAAAAGTGGTGACTTTGTTCAAATGTCTGGATAAGTAGTAATAGGGGAAGAAGCAAATGTATAACATGTAACAAAGACTTATAAGAACGATAAGGTCATTAGAACACATATTCTGCAAATAGTTTTATTGAGAATCAGTGAAAAAGGACATACCGACCAATATAATTCCAAAATATTTTTTAGTACGAAATTGCTTTTCATAACGCCGTTTCGTTTTCAGTACGAATGATAGACTTGTGGGAAAGAAGAAGTATAAAGTACGGATGTAAAACGAATGGTATTCTTGCAGAAATTGACAATGACGGAGCGTGCTGTTTCAGTATTCGTCGAAGGAAATTTTTTCTTCAGTCGTTGATTACTATGGCCCAGATAATTGACAAACAAAACAGTGATGAAATGAATTACGTTCGATCATCAAAGGTTTACATCACATTTGTCAACAAAGAACTTCACATCATTATTATGCATACTAGATAACCTAGTTTTCGACCTCAAGTGAACCATATTTAAATTGACCTAGACATCAACAAAACAATCTTTCTTACCAATTCAAGGCTACTAGGTCTGAAACAAAATCCCCTAGAGAGTTAACAATTTTTTTTACACATTTAGGCAGTGTGACCTATTTTTGTACCAAAGGCGACCCATATTCAAACTTGATAATTATCAAAACAATCTTCCTGGTCAATTTGCAGGAAGATTGGATTGAAGTAATAGTCCTAAATATATGAAAAAAGTTTCACCGTATTCACCGTATTTGTGCTGTATGACCAAGTTTTTGGACACAGATTATCCATAATTGAACCTGACCTTGAAATTACTAAACTAACCTTCCTGACCAATTTCCAAAATATTTGGATCAAAACAGTAGTCTCAAGTTTTTTCCATATCTGTGTTTCTGACTTATTTCAAGAATATTTTGATCAAATCAGTAGCAAGTAACAATGTGTAACTCTAGTATGGCTAATTCTACGTCTATGTGAAGAACAACTTTGTAATGACGTTTAGGGAGAGATAGAGATGATGAATCATCAATGCAAGGGTTGATATTGTGAAGTTACGTGCCGTACAGCGCTGTCCAAATTTAATTTTAATTCAGAACTAATAAGTTTTTATGGAGGTTCAAAATAGCCATTAGTTAAGGGTAAATCAACTTGTTGAGAATTTAAGGAATATTTTGCGAAAACATCGAGGTTTTCATTTTTCTCGTATTTAAACATGTCTTGGGATCTAACATAATTTGACTTTGTGTTTACAATATCATGACATCGCAAAAGGTGTTTGCTTATCATAATTGTATCGGACTTTCGATAATCATTTGATAAAATTCACGCACGGAGTCTGGAAAAACTACAAAAGTATGACAATGCTCAGTGGCTTTTGCTTCTGCAGTAAGTATAAATGCATTACCTGGTAGTGATTGGCAAAAAACGGCTACATCTTCTTTATAACGAACCAACTGAGCCGTTCTTGTAAATTTTGATAAAATCGTTATGTCCCTTGAAAATTTCGAGAGATTGGATGACTTGTTTAATATTAAAAAAAACTTTTAACTTCTGGTTAATAATATTAATTTGTGTAAATTAATCATGCTCAAATATGCAATAGAATGTTATTTAATTTAAATACTTCGTTGTTTTTTTTTGAATGCATGAAATGTAAAGATTGTGAATGATATCTGTGGTATCTTAAAATCAATCCGCAATTCAAATTTATATCGTCTGTTGGTACACAAATATCACGGTTATTTGATATAGGCCTGTTTAAATGTCTTTGAAGATACAAGTATATAAAACATTTTGCTTTTTTTAATGGTCAAGTTAACAATGACAAAACAAATTCTAGGCATGTATGTATGTCCTCTTCTGTGATAACATTCTAATTTACTAACTTACGATCAATCTTAAGGAATAACCTACCTTTAAACAACAATGACGATCTGACATTGATTTAGGCTTTTTAATAAGCATATAACACTCTTGACAAAGTCGGATAAAATCAGACATATTAGTCACTTTTCCGTTTAAATTCATTAAGAGAAATTCTTAAAAGACAAAGAATATTCAAATTTACAGATGTGTGCATGTGTTCGATATGATGAAATATAACATTACCATTCCATGTTGGAAGTAAGTAAGTAATTAGGTCATAGAAAAAGAGTAATGATCATATTTTGTCTAACAACATTGCATATTTCACTTCTTGCAATAGCTATAGTCTGTGAATATTTATATGATTGCTTTGTCGGCCAACAACAACATTGTATGGGTGTGACGTGGCGGCAAAGATTCTATCATGCTCTTCCAGATGGAATACTGCTCCTATATTACTTGTTCTATCAGCATGTTCAACTGACATTTCACACACAGACTCCACATGCTCAAGTAAAGTTATCATTGATCCGTTTTTATTAGAAACACAGTTGACAACATGACTTACTGTTTGAACAATGTTTTCATTTATTTCCGTACTGTTTTCAAACCTTGTTGTCATCATCAATGAAATGAAATATTTTCCGGTCCTCTTGATGTGAATTTCGCCATCGTTTACTGCATGTGAAACTTTATTTTCTGAGTATACTTCAGATCCCCAATACACCTTTGTTTTCCTTCCGGGAACTGATCAGAAAAATAATTTTTCAATAGCATTTTCTTATTGAACACTGCACTGAGCTCAAAAAGTAGATTTATTCTAATTTTAAGAAAAATATTAAACACGTAGTTTCAACACAAATCAATACAGATAATCTGAATATATAATATAATTAACATGAGAGCTTAAATTAAAATCAATGATTCGTGTATAATAACAAGAAAGGGTAAAAAGATGGTTTAAAATAAGTAGAGTAAAACAAAATACCAGGCTTTGAATGTGACGAAATCTGTTTGAGGTGTAAATGATCAGCTTCTTCATTGTTTACAAAACAGTTAACCACTTCAAGATTAAGCGCACTATATTCTGTAAGAAGAATGTACCACACTTACAGCATTTGCATTATAACGTGTATTTGAAATCAGATATTACTTGCAGCAAAAAACACAAATTACATTAAGATGTAAAACTCACAAAATTGTATTATAATATCACAATATTGATATCACAATATTAGGCTTAGCATAACAAAACATTCATTTACAGCTCAGATAGTCATTTTGGTAGATGTTATGCTGAGAGGGTTTTTTTAAAGGGCTTTAATACTTATTTAATAATTATTTCAAATAATTACCTTGGACGACTTTTATTTTGAGGGAAAAGTAAATTGATTCTTATATAAACATCTATGTTTAAATCAGTAGTGTTAATCATACAATGTAATCTCGTGCAAATATATTATTTTAACTGATATCAAATTATGTATGTAAGATAGATTAAAACGGTTTTAATAACAAATGCGTTATATTATGCGCCTGTAAGCAGTTAAAAGATTTAATCATTAAACTGTAAACGTAAATTGTTTAAACCGTATACGTAAACTTCGTTTATAAAACATTTAAATCACACAAAGAACAATTGTAGTTGAAGTAACATAAAACTCAATTAAATTGGCATATATATATAAAGCGATTATATACCTGGATTTGTATCGCTGTTATATCGGTCTAAAATGGTCTGAAAGGAAATAAACAATGAACATAAACGAACAGATGAATACATACTTAGAGACTTCTCATATAGACTTCTTATTGAATAGAATATAGGATATTGAATGAGTATTGGTTTTATTCTAAATTGATTGAACGAGTTGAATTAAATCATACGCGAACCTCGGGGAGCAATATATTGTTTTATTCAATAAATTTATTATTGAATCTACACGGAGATAATATTCTATTTATCACACTTTCGAAATAAGAACGATTCGCAGTTAAAAACAGTCATTTTCAATTGACTTGCCTGTAGTGTAACTATTAAAACTTTGACATTGATAGAGGTATATTTAAACTTAACTATATTTATACCTGCATACAATAGGTAAAACGTTTACGAAACACGAAAGTGTACCTTGTTTATATAGTTTGAAAGCAGATCGGAAATCTTCACACAATATTGATTACTATCTTTACTCTTAACTTCCTCGTCAAGCAGCAGACGTTTAAGCGAATCGTAGTTTTTATGTGTCAAGTTCAGATCATTTTCGGAAAAGCAAATCCTCGGTTCAATTGATTTTTCTCTTGACAGGCGCCAGTACACCACAAGTGATAAGAGGGCTACCAATTCTAATACCACTAGAGAAATCAAAACCTGGAGAATTCTGGGCTTTGTCATCTGTTGAAATATAGATGAAACTATAAGACTAGAAAGATAATACATTTACATTTGTATATGGAATAGGTTATATAGACATGTAAGACTTTTAGAAAATAAAATAAATATCGGCTTTGTTGCTTTACAAATTACACCATCTCATGTGATATTGAAATTACCATGTCAAAAAATATTCTTCTAAATATAGAGTCTTGTCATTTCTCAGGAGAAAAACGTACCAAATGTAGTGCATTTGTTTTTTATTTCTATTATCTAGTCAATTCAAAATTGTTTAAATAGTTTAACAAGTAATATGAAACTTAACGACAAGGAAAATAGTGTTAAAATATTAACCTTTAAATAAATTAAACTAGTACAATTAAATGTATAGTTAATTTCCTTGTAAGATATTTTGAAGAAAAAAAATTAAGAATCAAATAGTCAAATACGATTTTAGATAAAAATGTTACCTTTGTTCTGAATAAATGTTAGCTAGATAATCAAATAATTCAGGTAGGCACTTGAACTCTCAGTTTACCGCAAGGAAGAACAATGTAAAGTAGGAATACCCAAGTGTAAATCGTTGTATTGGATATTCAAATTTCTGTTTCGCTTTAATAATACGAAGCAATGGGTATTTTATTTAGCAACGTACTTCCGTGTCACACGCAAAAGTAGTAACAGTTTAAACTGTGTAAAATTTTAAAATTGCTGGTTTGCCGACAGCTTAATTGGGTTCTTTGCAAAGTTAAAGTCACATACAAAACCCATTCTTGCACTGAACCGTAAACTAAAATCATGCACTTAATATGTTTATATTTCAAAGATGATGTAAACTTACGAATACATACACACTTATAATTTTGTCTATTTTTAAGGATAAAAGAAATGCATTAAAATGATATTTAATTTCCATTCCATAAAAGAATATCTTATTTCGTTTTGGATTCAATTCGAGTAACTCATAACCTTTAACTTGAATTTGAATATAGCAAATATTGAGATATCATTTGTATGTATTTTTTAAAAAGATAATGATCAACAAGTGCGTATAAGGAATGATTGGTACGACCTATTTGTTGTAATTTTGACTTTTTATGAGCCCCTGTAGGTTTAGATAATATCGACTACACCAATATGGCAGACAACTCTGACAATTAAACAATTCAAACGGTGTGAAGAGTTGTCATTACCTTTATTTAAACTATGTTTAAATACGACTATACCACTTTGGTTTAATATTCACATTATCAAAACATTATTCAATCAGAAAAACAATATTGTTATTTTGTCCCAGTCTATGAAAAGACATTTATACAGTGGATCTTGAATTAGTGTTTATGTTGTATTAAAATTATTAAACCAGTCATCTGAAAACTATTAAAACGAGGCTCTGTCGACTTGTTTTTATCGTTTTCAGATGACGAGTTTGATAAAATCAATATTACATAAACACGAAATTAAGATTCTATTTATAACATGACCATATATAGCGCCCGTAAACGAAGAAAATAAATTGCAGTGTCTACTTTTATTTATGGAGAATTATAAGGTTTCTGACCCTCGTGCGCTGAAAAAAGTAGTACCGGTTTAAATAAGTTTTTTTTCAACGAAAAACATTGTGCTTACTGACATATAATATCAAATTTATTTGGTCAAATTTATAGCAATAACAAGACAAAATATGACTCCGTTGTAAAACTATCACATTGTCACCATCTTACTCATGACGGCAGCGTTCAGGTGTGTACTGTTAAGTTTTAAAACGGGCATCTTGCATATGAACTCGAATTTAATCACTCTCACTGGCGATTAATCGTGGACTTTTGTGGTCTGATGTTAATTTAATTTGGATTTATTTTGATGAACATCTACATGAAATGTTCCGCCATGTTTGGGAGCGCTAAAGATACTCTGAAATCCACTAGATACAGGAGGACTTGATATTGAATCGGTGTTGACATGTGCTATGCTATGGTTTAACTGTGTAGAAGTTGAACACGGACACGGAGTAGCATTCGCTGGACTGTTTTCTGTTACATTGGAATGAAGGATGTCCGATATTTATCTGTGCTGATTCTGATGTATGTATGTGACTATTTTTGTTGATGGATGCTATACTGTTATGGCCGGATATTTGCATAATTTGGTTAGGTGGAATGAATGTTACTGGCGTTAAATTTTTGAACTAGGTATTTTCCTACACTGTGCATTAGTAAGGAGTTCACTTGAGTTTAAACTCGAATGCTGGACCATTCTCTTCATCATTGATCTTAGTTTTTTGATTCCTCCGACTGGATAACGTTTGAACCAAGTGTCGCGTGATGCAATTTAGTGGATAGTTGATGTTGCAATATAAACGGGATTGTCAGGTTCTGAATAATTCATTGAACGTTTTTCTGCATACATGTAAACGGCAATCGGGCATCGATCACGATTCACTTTATTTACCAACAGGTTTTATTATCGTCTCATCTCTCGGATTTCCACTGGACCGAGTTTTGTTTTGTCTCTCCAGAAATTGCAAGTATTCATACCATTATCATCGGCAAAAAATGAAACATCACGCCAACACATATCACGGTGTTCTTGAAAACTTCGAAGTCAAAATGGATCGTATTGTATAACCAAAGTGTTTGAAGAACAGTGTCCGGTGTGAGGTCAAAATTGGTCTATATCATTTTCAGACAGCGGTTCAGCTGAGCTTTTAGGATCGTTGAATGTCCGTCGTCTGTCCACATTTGTTCGTTAACACTCTAGCGGTCACATTATTGCTTCAATCATCATCAAACTTTGTCAGGATGCTTGTCTAGGTAATTGCTCGGATGATTTCGAACATGGGTCATCTCGGATGAAATGTAAGGTCACAGGAGGGAGCTAAAAATAGAAAAATCTTGTTAACACTCTAGTGGCTAGTGTTTTGATCCAAATATCCTGGAAATTGGTTTGAAAGTTTGTTTTGATGATTTCTAGATTAAGTGTAAATATCGGTCACCTAGGGTCAAAAACAAGGTCACACCGCCCAAATATTGAAACCGTGTTAACACTCTAGTGGTAACATTATTGACTGAATCGTCATCAAGCTAGAATATGATAAACAAGATCAACAAGGAAAGGCAGCGTTCAATGAACGCAACCCCCATATGACCCAACAACAAGAACCAATGACAAGGAGCCAAGGCGGACCCCAAACAAAAACAGGACAGGGCAAAGACAGAGCACTGACAGGTTAATCATTAAATGATAAATAATTAAGCTAGGTCAGGATGTTTGACCAGGTAAATGCTCGAATGATTTCGAAAGTGGGTCATCTCGGATGAAAACCTAGGTCACAGGAGCTTAATATAGAAAAATCTTGTTAACACTTTAATGGCTACTGTTTTGATCTAAATATCCTGGAAATTGGTCTGAAAGTTTGCTTTGATGATTTATAGGACAAGTTTGAATATGGGTCACCTTGGGTCAAAAACTAGGTCACACCGCCCAAATATGAACAAATATTGTTAAAACTCTGTTGGTCACATGTTTGACTCAATTGTCATCAAAATTTGTCAGGATGTCATCAAACTTGCGTTCATTGAACGCCGCCTTTCCTTGTTGATCTTGTTTATCATATTTTATTGGTCAGGATGCTTGTCTTGGTAATTGCTAGGATGAGTTCAAACATGGTCATCTCGGATGAAAAACTAGGTCACAGGAGCTCAAACTAAGAAAAAATCTTGTTAACACTGTCGTGGCTACTGTTTGATACAAATATCCTGGAAATTGGTCTGAAATTCTGGAAACAAAGTGATCCCTCGGAAGCATTAATCACAACAAAATAACATAAGAATTGCACACTCGGTTTGATTGAGTCTGTACATGAGGGATAATGAATGTATGCAACATCCCTCACGCCCCCTAGCACCGGCTTGAGCGGTACTCAATTCTCAACACTTTATAGTGTTGGAGTTTGTTTTGATAATTTCCAGGTCAGGTTTGAATATGGGTAACCTGGGGTCACAAACAAGGTCACACTGCTCAAATTTGGAACATCCTTGTTAACACTCTAGTGGTTACATTTTTGACTCACCTGTCATGTTACTTGGTCAGGATGCTTGTCTAGATAATTGCTCGGATAAGTTTGATGGGTCAGGTGAGCAATCTAGGGCATCTTGGCCCTCTTGTTTAGGCAGGTCATCCCTTCCATCTTTTTAAGCTGTTGTTGTTTCATAGCCAGTGTTTCTCGAACTTTAGCAAATCAAGGGCGTAAAATGGTTTGTTCAAAACCTTTACGACGTTATTGCCGATCAGAACTTGTGACATTCCAAGCAGGACTGAAGGCTCATACTCGTCTCCATTTTGCTGTAGGACACTGACCAAAGCCGGCAAATTAATAAGGACAATTCATTTTCAGGAACTTCATAAATATCACGATTTTCATTTATATGTTTATCCCAGTTTTTAGAGTGTTTTTATTACTTTGTTCGTTGTTGCATCAACATTAGAACCAGAGACAATGTAGGTCATGGTGAACACGCGTAAAACAGAGACGATTTGAAGACCATGACCGTCGATTCGAACCTGAGGCCAGTTTCTAAAAATATGTTTAATTTAATTGTCTGTTAAATTTACAGTCAGCTTAAATAGCTAAACTCCTGTTTAATTTTAACCAGCTGTTAACAGATTCATTCAATCCCATAATTTCAAATTCTGTAGTCTACAAAATGGCGTCCGAATCATTTGAATCAAATGTCTTTTCTAAAAAAAAACATGTAAAATGGATAAGAGCAACATATTTTAATGTAAATGAAACTTTACTTCTAGAGGAATTAGTACAAGACAATTTTGAAGTGCTTAACTCAACATTTACAAATCAAGTGAAAAATGACAGAAAGTCGGAAAATCGGAAAGATATTAGTTATAAGATATCTGCTCATGGATATGCTCAGATGTCAGAGCAAGCCGGTATTGAAAAGTGGGCAAACTTAAAAAGAAAAGCTAACGAGGACCTTACAAACGAAAAATTGGTAAGATGCGAAACTGGTGGTGGGCTGTGTGTCCGGGTCAGTCAGCAGTCGCAGCGTATAGGCGTCTTGCTGTCAAGTTCATCAGTTTTTTTCAGGAATAGAAGGAGGACTAGACACTGATGAACAAGGTATTTAACTTTTCGTTCATATTTAAAACGCAAAACATTTAATTTAACGGTTTTACTTAATGTTCAAAAGTTCGTCTGTTCTCATTTCTACTTTCACTTTACTGTTTATAAATAGTTTTCAAAATTTCCCACAAACTGAAATCGTGTTTAGCGCAAATTACTAAGATCATCCGGTAGCTTTGTTAGAGAAAATAAAACAGTATGCTAAATTTAGACTATAAATTACCCATCGACACAAAAACATGTCAAATCAAGTACCAAAATAATGTTTATCCCACCAATTCGTCTCCGAATGGATGTCATGAGCATGGGTTTGCATGTACCTACAAGAAGGCCGCTTGCAACATTAATAAACAGACAAAGACAAGTTGGACTTATCACCTTTAGGATATGTTGCCTACTTTTTAAATTGTCTTTTGACGTTTTATCTGTGATATGCAGGCTTCATAACCTCAGATCCCCTTTCAAAATTCCATTTTATTTTGTTCCG